AGAAACTGAATTACTCAAGGCTTAATTTATTGAAAATTTTACAAATATTTTATATATTATCATAGCTTTTAGTCGAAATAATATAAAAATGATTATGATCATTTACTGAAATAAATCTTAGGCTATCGAAGAGCAGTTAAAATAATTTACTCAAATTTAAAGGCATTTAAGTTTATTAGACGTTAAAAAATAACTTCAACGTATTATAAAAACTAAGAAATAATTAAAATTTTCTCTATAAATTTTCGAAATGAATTAACCGATACAAAATTATTCTATATATTTGAACGCTAAACAAAAATATTATTATAAAATATGCAGCTTTAGTTTTGTATTAAATGTGATATGTTGTCTAACATATAAAATTTATACACTTGCAAGATCTAGTGTCTACGTCACCAAGTTTTTCTGTAAAAAAATACTTGTCGATTTAAAGAAGGGTCCTAGATCCTGTTAATTAGTATTTTCGTTGCATCTACCCTGTACTCAAATATAATCAGTTCATGATCACTAGTAGTTTCATTAACTAACCTCCAATTAGTAACTTATACGTCATGGGTAAATGTCGAGTCAATATAAGAGCATTAGTCATTAAAAAACGAAGCTTTCAATAGAATAAAACCGATTGAAAATAAACTTTGAAAGTTTTCCTGAAACGACCGATTTGACTTTTAAAAGAATGGACAATTTATCAATTTCAAGGTTGTAAACGTAACTGATAAACTTCTGAGTAAAATCGGCTATGTGATATTTAAGATTGCTGATAACGTGCATAAGATTTTTTCAAAATTTCTGTTAAATTCTCCAAAAACACATATAAAACACTACATTTTTATTGTAAAAACAAAATTATACTTTAATTATTACATTTATAATTTTTACAATTAATAGAAAATTCGAATTCATGTATGATATAACTGAAAATCATTTCTTTATATAAATCGAAATCTTTACTAACATGCGTGAGAGAAAGCAAATATACCCGATTTCGTGTAAACTTGGTAGTTCTTTTGATATAAAATATAGAAATAATTAAATAGTAAAATATACTCCACTAATTCTTTAAGAAATTTGTTTTTGAATTAGTATTAAGTATGACAGTAAATTCCAACGTTTCAATATAATTAGAACAGTCCCAATATAACAGATTTGAAAGCAAATAATCACAGACAATGTTGAGAGTCAAAAAATTATTATCATATTCGAGTTTCGGGAATTTACCCGAGCGTGCAAATAATTAAGTCATTAAACGTCATTAGCTTACGAAATACGTACTTTTCGGGGAATCCCCGATATAACATGCTTAGCGCAGTCAATAAAGTTAAGTTGTCTAATATGATATATATAATATTGTGAAATGCCAACAAGGAACTCACGCAAGGACTATTGTTAAAATAAAGAGGAGGGAAAATAAAAGGAAATGTGAAATAGTAATATGATATTGGATTGTTCGGAAAGTAATTTACGAACAACCCTAGTATGAGTAGCAGGGGGCCACCGGGTCGAACCCTAATGACCGCTTAATCTGCACGGGTCGGGAAGACCCGCTCTCGGTTGTCGGATGGCAATAGGAAGGCTAAAAATATGAGTGGGGAGGAGTTGGAAGTCGTGACCAGGTGTCCAAAAGACTACACGGGTTTAAATTAACGAACACATTTAATAAATAATTATGAAAATTTACACAAAGAATTTAAATACAACATATGTGAATCAAGATATAAATAGGTATTCTAAAAACTATTCTAACCTAACGCAAAAATCCGAGAGAGAGCTCACGTTACAGAGAGATAAATTATAATGGCAAGGGTTTACCTTGAAGGCAACGTTCTCCAGTTATAGGGCGTTGATAAAACACTCTGTGATCGTTGTCTTCTAATCCGAGGTGTCCTTTGAAGGCTATGTGGAGCGATGTCCT